CGGCCCGGCCGACGGGTCTCTGCGCGCCTGCGTGGGGCGCGGCTGTCCCGCTCCCCGCGGTGCTGCGCGCCTGGGTGTGGCCCCGGGGGACCGCTTGTCCGCACTTACTCCAAGAAGAGGGTTTGGGGAGCTGCCAGGACTCGGGCTTTGGGGACCCGGGGGCTCCTTGCCCTCCCGGGCTGCAGTCCTTGGCTCCACTGCGCTCCTGCGCGTCGGGGCGGAGCGGGCGGCCTTGGAAGCCAGATGCTGTCGTCCCGCAGAGGACAGTGCGTCTTTAATGCAGCCACAGCGTGAAGCTGTGAGGCTCATTTCCCAAGTGTATTTTTTAACTTTTTTTTTAACGTGCCAATGATGGCTTCTTAGAGGGCCCTGTCTTGAATTGGTAGCCCTTTAATAGGGTATTTTAACAGACTGTGTCAAAACCTCTGCCAGGAGTCAGTTCCTGTTTTCCAAACCGGCCTGCAGCTTTAATAAGACTTTAAATTTGGTGCATGCCCCACACTGGTTGGACATAAAGCCTGTGATGAGATGTGGGAGAGGGAAAGGACGGGGTGCCTACGGAGCCTTGCGCGAGGATGACGCTGGAAACGCGGCAGAGGAAGTCACAGAGCGCTGCTGAGACTCTGTGGGGACGGAGGGCGCCCGCAGGCCAGGAACGGGGCAAACGCTTGAGACACCCGCTATCGTGTGCGAGACCCGGGTCGCAGATACTCTAAGGAGTGCCGTAGAGATTCTGCACTACAGATAAGCACCCAGTTTTTGAGAGTGAGGAAGAATAAATTAAATGGAGAACCAATGTGGCTCTTTGTACAGAGCTCCTCATTTGCTTTCATAAGTGAGTCATGTGCTTCATCGTTGGGACAAAGTCAGGGCAGAGCGGTTGTTCTCTGCAAAGAAGGCAGAACTGTGGAGTAAGTGCAGTTTACCACCCTGCTGGGAGCCCAGATCTTTTTTGGGTTGTCTTCCTCTACCCGAGGAGCCCACCCCGCCCATCTAACCCCTTCCGGCACCTCTGCCCTGGTCTTCTTAGAGGAATCGTGTATCTGCGAGGTCCGATGCGCTTTTCCACTCTGCATTCAGGAGTAATAGCACTTTGATCTGGGCTAGAGCCTGTTTCCCCACCCGCTTCCTCTTAAACTCCAATTTCCTACATTCACTTTGTACCCTGCCAGTCATGGAATTAGACTGGGCCTCTCAGAGCCTGTACTTAACACTCACTGCTGTTATAGGAAAATGGTGCTCATTATGTGCTAATGACTGGCTCTATGCCCTGCAGCTACGTAAAGACAGATAAATTACTAGTTTTGATATTTCTTTTACTTCCTGTTACTTCAGTTTATTCAAGTGGACCAGGCACAGTTCTAGGCACTGGAGGTAGTGGGGGGCACAGCCAAACCTCTGCCCTCCTAGGTCACACTTCCTTGTGGAGCAAACAGACAGTAAAGAGCCAATATTCCCAGTGTGATGTTTGATGTAAAGAAAAGAAAGCAGGGTCGTGTGTGGGAATGAGAGGACCACTGGTTCCCAAAGATGACCTAAAGGCATGTCTGAGAAGACCTGAACAGACTCCTGAATTAGTACAATTTAACTATATTTGGCAACTATTTACTGAGCACGTGAGTAAAGGCACACAGAGGAGTTTGTGTTAATACAAATGAAGCATGCACACAGACACTAAAATGAGAGACAAACGAAGTTATGAAAGAAATGCATGAAGTACAGTCAAAATGCAATTGATTTCCAAGGAGACTCGTATTTGGTCAAGTGATCAAAAATCTTGTTTGGTAAGGATCTGAATTGGACTTTGTGGGGGCGGGATATCTTTTCAGGCAATCGTGGAGAAAGCTAAAAGAAGGCAAGTGCCTGTATCAGTCAGTGCTTACCAGAGAAACAGATTTAATGCAAGATATACAAATATAAGGATTTACAAGATGGCTTACAATGGCCACCCAGAGTCAGAGGGGAGAACTGAGCCTTGGCATGAGGGAAGCCAGCCCAGGCTGCCTCATCAGCACTCTCTGTTTGTTCTTCTTATCTTCTCTTTCTAGCAGGGGCTTAACTCATTATTTGCCAGAAACTGCACTGAGGCCCTTTAACTTTCTCTGCCTGTCCCCCAACTTTCCCTACAACCGCAGCTGGAAAGAGCATACGCTCTGAAGTCAAAAGGAGACTCAAATCTCCACTCTGCCCGCACGGCAGTCATGTGAATCAGGTGATTACACGAGTCCTGAGCCTTACCTTGACTGGCCCTTAGAGTTAAATAATCTGTGAAAATGCCTAACAAATTGTGAAAAAACTTGGTTTCTTTCCCAGTGGCTCTTTGCCCCTTTCAAAGCTCTCAGTACCATTCTCATCTGTTCTAATGCTTGAGCCCCCGCCTTCACACTCCAGCCTGTTCTCCTCCTCTGGACTCTGTTCCACCGCACCAAGAACCACCCCATCCCCAGCAGGTCTCAGAGCTGGCAGGCCCACCTCGGGGAAAGCAGTTGATGCTTCCTGGAACCCTCCTGTTATGGCTTGGTCTTAGTTACTTTCCTTTCATTGCTGAGGCAAAATACCAGACACCCAGAATTAAAAGAGGAAAGGTTTATTAGCTCACAGTTTTTGGAGATTTCAGTCCATCATCGACTGGGTCCACGACAGGGTGGCACATGACAGAGGGCAACAAGTTCATGGTGGCAGAAGACAGCAAAAGCAACAAAGGAGCAAGGACAAGACTCTTTCTGCCCCTTATACTGTATGCAGGCTATCCACACTAGGGAGATGTCACACTCACACCCTTAATCCTAGCCAGAACTATGCCAAACCGACCAGTGGAGTGACTTAGTATTCACACACCCTTATTCCCAACATCACACACTCTAGAATCAGCCACCTCTGAAAAGTCTGACCCCCATGACTGAGTGAGGATTTGGGGGGACATCTAGACACAAGCCATAACATGCTATGGCTTGTGTCTAGATGTCCCCCCAAAGCTTCATGTGATTGTAGGTGGGGCTTTTTGTTGGTGGCTGGATCTAGAGTGTGTGATGCTGGGATTGATTCATGGTGCAATGCTAGGATTAAAGGTGTGAGGTTGGGTAACCTAGATAAATATAAGGAACAGAAAGAGGACTGCTATTGTCATCGCTTGTCTCTTGCTGCTTCGCTGCTTCTTTGCTACCCTGCTGCTTTGCTGCCTGTGTGAGCTGTTTCTCCTCCCTAATGCCCCTCTGCCATGCCACCTTACCTTGGAGCCAGCCAACTATGAACTGAAACCTCTACAAACTGTGAGCTAAATAAACATCTCCTCCTTTAACTTTAGGTGTCAGGTATTTTGTGTCAGCAACAAGAAAAGTTACTAAGACATTTCCCCTCATTTTTCCTTTGCCAATGTCTTCCCATTGATGGATACAGAGCTAGCCTAGAGCCCCACACACACTCCTCACCATACACTACCCCTTGGTCCCCAACTACTGGTGCCAAGCACTCGAGAAGCATCACTTGCAATTTAGTTCAAGTCATCTCCCTGGCCCCATTTCAAGTTAGTCTTTCAGATACCATATTTTGGGCTTTTTAAAATTCTCAAAACTAAATGTAAAAGAAGCAATAAAAATACTGTGTACTCATAAAAAGACAAGCCTGTTGTCTCTTTTGTTTATGGCTTAATCTCCACACCTATCACAGCATTTAGTAACCATTCATTAAATGTTTTGAATGGATGCATGCATGCATTATGTTACAGGTCGGTCTGTTTGCCTGTTTAGCAAATGTAACTAACTTACTGCAACCTAGTGTTATTCAGAATGATCAGGAGATATGAAAAAGAGGCCAGTGAAAACCTTGGAGAGAATTTTGTCAGAAAAAAGGATGTATTCTCTGACAGGGATTTTGGATTCTGAAGAAGACTCATCCTTGACTGGATAAGGTTCTGTCTCATTATCTTACTAGTATATGACCTTGGATGATAATTTGATTTTTCCTTCTTTGAGGTCCTAATTAGGGTTAAATGAATTGACTTGTTTAATGCCTAAAAGTAGCAGGAAGACTAGTTTCAACTACTCTCTCTTCCTAAAAATTCTCACTGCAACCCCTCAGTCTCCCTGCTGATGATTCAGTCCCCACCTATCCTACTCAAAAACGAAATTTAGGCCCTCTGAACCCACCCACTGCTCTCATACTGTAGGCTCTAGCTATCACTAGCCAGTTACTTAGCACCGATACATAGCTCAACGCACTTCAATCCCTGGGGCCAGTTTGATGAAACTCTCAACATTGGTATCTGTATCTGGGGTGTTTATTCATCCAAAGAATTTATTGTCACTCCCTGTCATTGACAACAAGAACTCAGTAAACTGTTTAAAAATATGCAACAGCACAGGTCTAATTAGAGCAGTCTAATGGTTTGCATCTAGATGTTCCCCTCAAAGCCTCGTGTAGCCATAGGTGGGACTTTTTCAGATGTGTTTGAATCTAGACTGTATGTATGATTCATGGCGCAATGCTAGGGTTAAGGGTGGGTGATTACTGAGTCAGCCCACTGATTTGTTCAGCACCCCTAGTTCCAGTAGCTTGGATAAAATATAAGGGATAGAAAGAGGCTTGTCTTGACTCTTGCTTGCTTTGCTACCTCCTGCCCACCATGAACTGTTTCTCCTTTGCAATGCCTGTCTGCCATGCCACCCTGCCTTGGAGCCAGCTGATTATGAGTGGAAACTTCTACAAACTGTGAGCTAAATAAAG